CCAGCCCCAACAATTCTGTGATTCTGTGAAACATTTTTAATTCACTGTCTCCGTGCTTCCACTAGACACACGGTAAGGGAGGGTTTGTGACATTTATGACGTGAGGAGGAGCAGTCCCACGTGCACATATACGTACACAAAGGCAAAGGCAGGCAGGACACTTCCTTTTGCTTTTAGTCATTTTAAGAACCAACTTGAGACACTTTTTTTTTTTTTTACAGCAGGTACCGCAGTTTGCAAAGAAAAGCCACAAAGCACAGTCACCAAGTTTCCACAGGTCTGAGCTAAGACTGCAAAGTGCATAGATCCAAGCTGGAAAAATAACCTAAGTCACTTCAATGCAGACAAGTCTTAATTTTTAAAACCTGTTTTTTGGCTGTGCTAGGCTTAGCCTCTGTCAAGAGCAGTTTGATAATCTGAGCCATTTCGGGGCAGAGTGATTAACTACACGCTCTCTCAAAGTCATTCCCAGACCCACATTCCATTGCTTCTCTTACTTTCTCTAAACTTCTTTACTTTGTATTTCTGCGATATCGACATACTTTCAGCCCTATGCAGTTTAAGATGAAAAAATAATCTTTTCAGTATGGGAATTACCTGCAGTAAGAGAACTAGGATTCAGAATACACTCCCAAAAGCTTTTGGCAGCTGCCAGGCAGGCTTTCCAGGAGGGGCAGAAGATTTTGGTCCAGTTTGTATATTCTTAACCTGCACGAAGCTTCATTTGGTTGGGCACACGTTTCCTCCCGACAGCTTCTAAAAAGAAGAGATGTTTGCCAAGTCAAGCGAGCTTCAACGGGTGCTACGAGCCTCAGTGCTGTGACCTCCTCGATGACACAAACCCCAGCAAAGCCTCTGCTCTGCACCAGCTCATGGATAAATGCAGAGAACAAGGATCTGGTTTAATTTCAGGTCTGTTCCTGGCTCACTCAAAGAGCTTATAGACCTGTAGCCAGCTGTGTCTCAATTTCCTCATGTGTAAAATGCTGTTGCAACCCCAAATCACTCTGTATCTCCAGAGCCTACAGGAGAGCTGCTCGCAACAGGCTCTCAAAAAATCCCAGTGAGTTCTTTAAAAAGGAGCTTTACAGGTTAAAGATTTATTCAGCAACTCGTATTGGACACGTTACACCAGAGAAAGGTCCCCACCAAGCTGAATCTGTGAGGTTCAAGTCCTAAATCCACCGCAGAATCGGCAGCAGATGATTCTTGGGAGGCTGAAGGGCTGCATTTCCCAGCCCACACGTCATCACCATGCAAGGAAGAAAAGCCTTGGTTGCACCCACATCACCATCGTGGTCGGATCTGGCCAGGAGCAAGATCCACTCACAGATTGCACAAGAGCAACCACAGGGCAAGCCAGCACTGACCGTACACGCTGCCTTAACCCACTGCACGAAAACTTCCAACACGGTGGCTGGAGGCACAGCCTTCGTGCCTCTCGAGACACCAAAGAGTTTGCTGACATCCTTCAACGGAGCAAGATTCAGTCCCAAAACCAGGAAATGGCTTGAACGCTGGACCAGCAGCGCAACTGCACAATTCACATCCTCTCCCTGCCTCCCCAAGGAGGCCTCCTGAAACAACAGATCCAAAACTTCCCTCCCAGCATCCCCTTCCCCCCTCCAAATCCCTCTTCACCCACACGCATGAAAAGACAAACTTTTTCTTCTCCTCTCCCCTTTCCTGAGCCACCAGCCCCCATTTTCATCTCTTTATCCGTCAACACGCAGCAACACCTCAACGAAGCCATTTGTCCAAATGCAAATAATTATAATCCATCAAGTTGAAGAGCAGAGCAGAGCACAGAACTGTCTTCCTGACAACAGAAGCTCAACAAGTTTTACTTTTGGGGACAAATTACAGCTACGTCATGGCCCGAACAGCCCTTCAACGTCCATGAAGGAGCCCGGCGCGTGTTCACAAGCAAAACACACCTCGTACACCTTCAAGAAAACGGAATCCCAGGGGAGGGAAGCCACGTCACCACTGAATCACAGAGCCCGACTCGGAGCCAGAAAACACCACGTCACCACTTCACACAACGTAGATGCAGCTCTCCCAGGCGTGTGTCCCCCTCCCCAAGAAGGAGGTTTCTGCTGTGACGAGTGAGAGACACAATATTCCTCAAATTATTGCGGGTTTAAGCAAATTACAGCCAAAATGCAGACACCTGCAGATGTGGCACTGGGATACAGGCACATTAGAGGTCTGTAAGGAGCTAAAGGAGTGTCTACGATGCACACATGCTGTAAAAAGATTAGTCTTACAGATCTATTACTGTCTCTGGCATCCTCTTCCTTCTTTGAGCCCTACGTGATACCTGCAAGTGCAGCAAAACCACCTTAAAAGCAAGAAGGAGTTTTATAATGGTCTTGGCTGGAGATGTCAGAGCAGAAGACGGCTCTGGAGTAAGGCAGAAATCGTACTCCAGTCAAACTTCTCCTCCTCAGTGTTTGCTCCGGCACCAACAACAGCAGATTCACCCCCCGAAGTACCTGGGAACCCAGTTTCAAATCCAAGAGCCTCCCAGGGAGCATCGTCACCCCCTCGGGACAGTTGTTCCTACCTTCCTTGGTGGAGATCTGCATCCTGGTGGCCGGCAGCCTGCAGAGCCTGTGCTTGGTGATCTGCACGAGGCCCTTGGGCGAGGAGCGTTTGAGCGTAGCAGACGGTTTCCCCCGCGAGGAGTTTTTCTTCCTGAGGTGGAAGTGGCTTTTCGGAGGCGTGGTGGGCGAGAAGTTGCTCTTCTTATCTGTCGGGGAACTGCGAAAGGGAACGCACCACAGAGTTAGAAGAGAGTAAAGAGGTGACCAAAATGCACTTGGGGCTGAGAGGAGAAGCTGGGTCACCAGAAACCTCACACGGCAGCCCTACCCAAGGGTGGCACGAAGCACCGAAGAGAAAATTGCAGCTAAGGAGGAAGCGTGATGAACTGCTGGCACAGCACGGACGGAGAAGGATTTGACAACCTAACTCAACTCATTCCCTTCTGCTCTCTGCTCAACAGATGTTGGGGAGAGGACAGGATCCCAGAATTGTTTAGGTTGGGGAAGACCTTTGAGATCATCAAGTCCAACCATTAAGCCAGCACTGCCGGGTCCACCACTAAGCCATGTTCCTGAGCACCACATCTACCCGGCTTTTAAATCCCTCCACAGTGACCTCACCCCTGCCCTGGGCAACCTGACGAAATTTTTCCTAATCTTTAATCTGGTGCAGGGGCCATTTTCTCCTGTCCTAACCTGAGGCCATTTCCTCTTGTCCTATCACTTGTTACTTGGGAGAGGAGACCGACCCCACCTCGCTACAACCTCCTGTCAGAGAGCTGCAGAGAGCAGGGTCTCCCCTTCAGCCTCCTCTTCTCCAGACTGAACAATCCCAGCTCCCTCAGCTGCTCCTCACCAGATTTATTCTCCAGACCCTTCCCCAGCTTCATCGCTCTTCTCTGGACACACTCCAGCCCCTCAAAGTCTTCCTTGTCGTCAAATACTGAATCCAGGATTTGAGGTGTGGCCACACCGGCGCTGCGCACAGGGGGACAATCCCTGCCCTGATCTTGTTGACCTTGAGCAATATGGGAGGGAAAGCGTCTCATCAAACCAAAAGTCTGAACAATTCCAGCTTCTCTGGGCATCTTGCCTCAGAACGATCCTCCCAGCACGATGACAGATGTTCTTTAACCCTTCTCCTTTCCCAAAAGGGAAGGGGAAAGGGAATAAGGCAGAGAGACTTACGGATTGGAAAAGAAAACTCAAACAGCTTTAATAAAATAACGGTACCGGCACGGAAACGGTGAAGGTAAAGAACTATATGCAAATATATGCAAAACTAGTATTGAGCCTAACTTTTCTCCCTGCCCATAGCAATCCCCACGGAGGCTGCAGAACAGGCAGCACCAGGCTCAGCAGCGGAGGGGAACAGGACGCAGGAGCTGAATTGAGGAACTCAGGGTCGGGATCAAAGGCAGAAGATCAGAGTCCCCCCCGGACGCCGGCCACTGACAACGAGGCCTTAACCCCCGCGACGCCTCGGCTTTATACTGACTGTGATGTAGATAAAACAGAAAACTTTTTAGTGGTCAAGTCTGGGTCAGTTGTCCTGTCCGTTCCTCCCCAGAGGGGGGATTCTTTACTTCCTTGCAATTCTTTTTACTCCCCAGCACGGCACACAAGATCCAGCAGTGACCTTGGTCACTACAGGAGCAAGTATGAGCCAGAGCCTTTCCGCATCCCAGTCCCTGGCAGTAACTACAAATATCAGGCGTTACCACTTCTAGCAGCAGCCACTCTGCAAAAACACGGCGTTAACTTCAGAAAGTGCCGCCTCGTGGAAGAGACTGAGCTGAAAAGTAAAAATCCCTGAACAGAATTGATTTCGTTTAGCTCAAACCAGGACAGATCTCTTCTCTGCTTCCTTTTTTTTGCAGACAACTCGGCTCACACACCTTTTCCTTCCGCCAAGTTTCATTTCAAACCTTCCCATCGTACCCTGTCCCGATCAGACACAGTCGGGAGGAGAACTTGCTCCGACAAGACGTTGGGAATATCTGCTGGTCTGGCACAGAGCGTTCTCCCAAAATAGCTGCGGCAGCCACGGATCTGCCATCGGCTTGACAAGGAGAAAGAAAAGCAAGAGCCTTCAGGGAGGACAAGGTGGGTGGCACAAAAGGAGGGAAGTACCAGGAGAGCGTCACAGACAACACTTCTTCTTGGCAGGCAGAGATCATCCCTCATCCCTGCTCCATCCCAGGGAGAGACTGTGTGGAATTAAAGCACTTTTTGCCTGGACTTTAGCTCTAGCCACAAGGAAACTACTTTCATGGAACCTTTCTCACGTCGTGACACGGGATAATTGCCCGAAATAACTTGGTTGTTCACATGTAAGAACATCAAGTACGTTCCACACCAGTGCCCAGCTGGTCTGTAAGGAGCTCTCCCCACAAAGGTTCCCCAGGCAACCTTCAGAGTCAGGAACAGCAAAGGAGCTCCATGTTCTCATTTTGAGGGAAAAATACACGGAGCAGAGCGGAGGCACCGTGGTCAAGCTCTGTGCACACAAAGCAACTTGAAGACATTGAGGAGCCCGTAAACTGCACATTTACTATCCTGGGCCAAGAATCTTTTGATAGATATCGTCCTTTGGGTGAACTATGCTCATTATAATCTCATTATAACACCAAAACACACCTGTATCCCCAAAACTACCCGCCTCCGAGGTGCCACCACCCCTCACTGAGCTCACACACTGAATTTTTCTAGTCTATACCTTTAAAAGTGAAGTGAGAAAAATTTACACCAATCACAGTAAAGATATGAGTGACTAGAGTCACTCAAGCTTCACCTGAAAGGTAACAAATAACACAAAAAGGCCCAAGACAGGTGGAACTTTAGGGAAAATATCACCACAGTCAGGGAAAACATCACCACCAACCATCTCTGGCTCCTGGGATCAGTCGATGGGCTGAGCTTCTCTTTCGGGACACCTTTGGGTAAGATCCAAACACTTGGACTCAGCAAGTGCTGCCCCAGGATGCTCAGGAAATCTTTACGGAGCCGCTCACAATCTAATGCAATCGTAACTCTCGCATGTGCCTTGCAGACAGTCGCTATCGCCGGCAATCAAAACGAATTTGTGTATCTGTTGCTTCAATAAACTAAATTTGATTCCGCTCCTCCTTTCCCCAGCCCCCAATACAACAAGGTCACGCGAAAATAAATCAAGAGAGCCATGTCCTTCCCTTCAGGTCAGGGAGGAGTGTCCTAAGCGCTGCCCCTAAAAGTCTTCAGAGAACAGGGATGGCAGATGAGAAGAAAACCCAGCTCTGTTGGAAAGGTTAAAGGCAGAGTGACGCAGACTGGTCAAACAATTAAAACGTGAGGTCCTCCAACCCTGGAAAGCCTCCAAACAGAATAAAGTCACCGCACTTGGAAAAAGAAAGGCAAACACACTTCCCAGTATACGATAACCCGCGTCGGAATTTCATTTAGAGCCACAAATTACATGAAGCCAACAGAGACGAAACACAACCAGGTTAATAACCCCGCTCGGAAGGCGACCAGCAACTTACCTTCCCTTCCTCTTGATGATTTTTGTCCGACTCTTCACTTTATAACTGGATAGCGCGGCATCGCCCAAGGAGGACTTCACCCCGCCGAGACCGACCGACACGGCGCTCGGAGGCGGCGGGTTGGCGGCTCGAGGGAGGGCGGGGGCCAGAGGCTTTTTCTGGTCCTCGGATCGCCACCGGAACGCTGACTTGGAGGTGGAGGGCAAGGTCTGCAGGCTGGAAGCTTTCCACTTATACTTGCTGGGAGAAACACCCAGTTTGGACTGCAGTCCTGATTTCTTCAGCTTTGCTCCCAAGTCACCTTTGGGTGACAGTTTACCACCTCTGTCTGCTCCACCGGCGACCTTCTTGGCACTTTCGGCAGCTTTTGGGCTGACCCATCTCTTCACGCCGCCACGAGAGCATTTCCCAGGGTTTGCGACCCAGGTGTAATTCGTTTTTTTGAACTTTGGAGCTTTGCTGGAGGCTGACGTTGAGGCAGCTCTTTGGAGAGCAGCAGCTTTGGGAAGTACAGAAAATCTGCTCTTTGTTGGAGTCATCCCAACCACCGAAGCTGCAGCCTGAGCAGGTCCAGAGCCCGTCTTGCCATTTCCAAGGAGCTTCAGCTCTCTGAAAGCATCTCTCACTTGCTCACAACTGGACTGCCCTGGAGCTGGCGGTTCTGTCTTCCTCCGTACCGAGTGCTGAGCCGGCTCGTGACCCGGCAACACGGAAAGCTGCTGCGGTTCTGATTTTAGTGTCACAGCACTTTCACTGGTGCTCCCGTAGGAGGCAGGCGAGCTGCCGGCCACATCACTGGCCAGACACACCGTTCTGGGCTTCTCTGGCACGCTCACGTAAGCTGAACTCACAAACCGATGAGATGAACTAAAGGAAATGGAGAGAGAAGGTCTTCTCTCTTCGTTTTCGCTCATATATTGAGATTTCAGCACGTTTTTACTGTCATCTTCCAGCCCAGAAAACTCATAGCAAGAACCCACGTCGGCAAAACCTGCGGTGTCTCCAAACAGGCCAGCCCTCTGCGGCAGCTGGATCCCCACCACGATGTTACCATCCGTCGTTAAGTCCACGTGTCTCTCTGGTGACGATTCCCGTGGTTCGGGTTCCTGGTTGTCCACGTGGCTTCCAAAACCCCAAGACGTGCTGGTACTTCCGACATCGCACGCCGATCCCGGCGGCCGGTTGACGAGGGAGTATTTTTTTCTCCAAGAGTGACCCTGGTGCAGCTGGAAATCCCTGGGAGCCTGTTGGGGGTACCTGGCTGAAAACGCTCCCCTCCTGCCGAAGGCAGGCTGGCGGGGGTGGTTCCACCTCGGCGGCACCGATGGCGGCGGCCGCGGCGCGTCACCGTGTGTGTTTTTATGGTCGTTTATGAGACCTAAGGAGAAGAAGACACAGTCTGTTAATCACCCCGAGAGTTTGACGGCATCACGGGGTAGGTTTTGCTCACTCCGCAACGAGGATGATTGCTCCACGCATTTTAGATAATCAGTGGTGGAAGGAAAGTTCACAGTTGTTTTGAGTTTATCGCCCTCAATCTTCACAAAGGTCAGTAACAAAAGTGATTTCACAGGACAGCTCAATGCAGGCCTGAAGGACACACTCACCATCATATCCTTAACCCACTGCCTGAGTGCTGTTTCCCCCTTATAGTCCTTTTAACGAGCCAAAATAGATACTTGAATTATGACTTTTTTAAGGCTGATTTAAAAACAAAATGTTAATTTTACTTCCAGGTGTCTTTTCAGAGCTGCCTCTGAGGGTCTGTACGTGCACAGAGCCCGGCCCAGCCACTGCCAGCCCCAAACACAACGCACAGAATTGTTTAGGTTGAGAAAGAACTTTAAGATCGATGAATCCAACCACTAAATCATGTCGCTGAGCTCCACATCTCCATATCTTTTAAATACCAGGGATGGTGACTCCATCACTTCCCTGGGCAGCCTGTTTCAGGGCTGGACAACCCTTTCAGTGAAGCATTTGTTCCTGATATCCAATCTAAACCTCCTCCGGCACAACTTGAGGCTGTTTCCTCTTGTCCTATCACTTGTTACTTGGGAGAAGACACTGACCCTATCTCACCCCAACCTCCTGCCAGGGAGTTGTACGGAGTGACAAGGTCCGCCCTCAGCCTTCTCCAGGCTGAACAACCCCCTTTCCTTCAGCCACTCCTCACGAAACTTGTTCCCCAGCTTCCTTGTGCTTCAAGGCAGCAAAAAAGGAGGCTCTGAGGCGGCCCCAGCTTTGTTGTTGAGTCACTGCACATCCCTCTGCCAAGCTTTGGTCTACTCACAAAGTCGTTTCAACTAGGGAGGGGTCTGCACTCCTTAGGCCTCAGTGTTAAGAAAAACCTTCCAAAACCAATGGGCTTTCAAACAAAACAATCAAAGGAGTTTTGAGCCTCACGTCTTCGGCACGCGTCAGCACAGAAAACATTTTTCCTACACAAAGGGTCATAGAGCTGCCGGAACAGCAGATTCCTGGAGGAGGAGAGCACCACGTTTTCCTCCCTCTCATCACATCTCCCCCACGTAGGAGCTCCTGGACGGAGGCAGATCCCTCCCTGCAAGGCCCGAGCGGCATTTGTGGCCTCCCTGATGAGGAAAACTTACCTCGGGCTCTATAAATTGAGTGAGTTAACGCTAAGAATAAGCGCTGATGCTCACCAGAGCTAGGAAAGGGCATGCAAATATGTACCCGCTCCCCTCCCCAACGCTCTGAGGTGTCAAGGGAGGGATCCCACCTCGCTGCCACCCGTCCCCAGGGGCTGGGGACACCCCTTCCAGAGCCAGGAGGGGCACAGGTCTCGCAGGGAGCAGCAATATGGGGATAACCACCCCCGTTGGGGTGACCCCCAAACCTTCCCAGCGCTCTCTGGCTTCTGTTCCCACCCTGTCCCGGCCCACCCGGCGTTCCTGGGTCTTGTCCCCTCTTCCCCTTTCTCCTGAGGGC